GTGCAAATGCTTTCAGACTGGTACACGATGCTGTACAACCCAAGTCCAGACTATGTCAACACATTACACTGCACTCAGGAAGCTGTGTACCCACTGTGAGTATTGCCAGCAATCATTTCGCCAAATTCTACAATTAACCATAAAACAATAATTCCCAGCACTCCACAGAAGAGGACAAAGGTGTGTTTGCAGCAGGGCATCAAGGCCATACTGTGGGACACTGAGCTCTGTGTCTTAGGGCAAAATTTAAAAAAAGAAAATACAATTATACGTTAAATAAGAAAAAGCTTAGTTATGGACAGCAGAACACGGTTCAGGTCAGGCAGGTGGTTCCTCCCAGTCAGTCCCTTCAGCCTCACTGTTGATGCCTACATGAGTGACAGCAGAGACACGGAGCGCTCTCAAACACCAGCAACTTTAAGAAGGCTGGGTACTCTGAACTGTCGCTCGTCAGGAACTGTTCCCTGACCCTGAGGCACAGGGAACAAACCCTGTTATCAACTGGGGAAAAACCTCAACGTACAGGCAGCAAGCTGAGGAGATACCAGCATACCCAGTCTTTATTCAAAAGGTTGAGGTTATTTATTGGATCTTAGTGTTTCAGTCAGATGAGTTCTTAGATGACTTTTCCTCCTGTTACACTGCAGATCATGACAGGTGGACACATGGAGGCTGGCAGCAGCGTGCTGACAGGAGAAACACTGGGAGGTTCATTCGATATAAAGCAGCAGGAGAGTAGCCTCACACTGACCAATGATCGAGGCTACTTTGTTTATTAGACAAGCTGAACAGACACCTGCTGAATGAGTAAACCGATCAACATGCTTCTGATTCTTTATTCTCTTTTTTAACTCTTGTGCAGTTTCCTTCTGAACTGGTGCACAGGCTGGTGGGAGGTCACCTCAGGCTTGTCATTCATTCTGTATCTGTTGCATCAGCGTAACACGAACTCCTGAATGTCCTTTTTCTCAGCTACACCATCGTGCTGATCTACTATGCATTTTGCTTGATACTAATGATGATGCTGCGTCCTCTGTTGGTGAAGAAGATGGCGTGTGGTTTGGGCA